TATTACCTTCAGACAGATGTTCCAGACGTCTAATGTATTTAAAACACTGGTTGTCATATTCAAACAGATGTTCCTGATGTTTAATTTATTAAAGACACTGGTTGTCATCTTCAGACAGATGTTCCAGATGTTTATTAAAACAGGTTGTTACCTTGAGACTGATGTTCCAGATGTTTAGTTTATTTAAAACACATATTGTTGTTGGGGGGAACAAGATGGCGTCAATGATTTTTTATTTATTTATTAATAACACACAGAACTAGAGAACACTACAAAAGAGAAAGATCTATACAAACACTCGTGAAGGGTGTCAGAACTAAAGTTTACAAGCTGGGGGGGGGGGGGGGTTACAAAATGATGAAAATTGAGAAATATATAAAAAACATTAAATGAAAAAAAACCATAAGAAACAAAAAGGAGCAAAACAATACGAGAAACTTAAAACAACAAGTTTTTAGATGTGTGTTGTGAAATGGTTCTAGCAGTTTTGCAGTTTTTAACCTACGTGTTGCAGAATAGTACAACTTGAATTCGTTCGTAGAACACGGGACGGAGGGCTGAGTCTCGGTGAGCTCCCGTCAGGCCTGGTGGAAAACCAGTTTAATAACTGCACTCTCGCTTCGTTTGGACTGGGTTCTGCTCCTGAGACTGGTGTCACCGCAGTACTGAACCAACAAGCTGGGAATATGGACTCTAAGCACAAAAAGTCTCAAGTTTTGCCTTCGTCTCCACTGCTGCCTATTGCTAATGCTAAGTACTGCTAGCGCTTGGGACTGCCGTGATGGAGGCTCTGGGGAGGTGACAGCCGGGCACTGGAGGGAGAGACGACTCGGCTCCAACATCAGACCTCCTGGTCTCAATAAGAGCCGATGTTGTAGCAATGATTAAAAAAGAACTGAGTGCAGCTCTGGCTGAAGATTTCAACTTTTAAGAGTGAGTTATTGGTGGTTCGGACCGAGCTGACAACCACCGCTGCTTCTCTCAGAGCGGAGATAGACCGGGCTGGGTCTGCTAATTTGGACCTAAAACATTGCTTGTCTTCCCACCTGCATGAAACGGTGGTGGAGCTGAGGACTGAAAATTGATGGGCTAAAAAAACAGTCCGAAGCAGTTGCTGGCGAACCAGGCGTGGTAACATCAGGATTGTTGGACTTCCCGAGTAGGCGCCACTGTGATCGCTAACATGCTAACTGAAGTCCTAAAACTGGTTAAACCACCGCTGATCGACTTCATGTACCGGCCGGGGCGGCTCTCATGGGAGACCCGGAGTGATCATGGCCAAGCTCCACTACCATCCGCAACGGGTGGAAGTTCTGCAGCGAGCGCGCAGCGAGCGCGCGTGCAGTGGCAGTCAGATAAACTTCAAAGGGTCGGCCATGTTCATCTTAGGTGACTACACCCCACAAGATCTGGCAAGATAACAAGCAGCATTCATGGAGGCGAAACGGCTCCTACAGAACCAGACGAGGGTTACATATTGTCTCCTTTTTCCAGCGTATCACGTACGGAGGGAAGGATAGGGTTTTTGTTGACCAAAAAAAAGTGATGGAGTACATCAAAGGAAATATTATTCCAGTTGTGAGCAGCGGGGGTGGAAACAGATCAAAAGTAATCCAAATAAACCTCAGGACCGTTTTATTTTTATCAACAACTTTTATTAAACTTGTTCTGGACTCAAGTTGTTGGCTGTGATCCTCTGGTGCTGGTATGTACGACATTTTACAGTGGTCCCTCGTTTATCGCGGGTGTTTGGGACCACGCCCACCGCGATAAGTGAAAAACCGTGAAGTAGGGATACAGTAGTCCAAGTTCAAGTTCAGTAAACTTTGTCATGACATGTACCAGCTGTAATCACACTCATCACCTGTTACTCCCAGTCTCCCTCCTTAAATAGACCATTTAAATGTAAATACTGTGACATTTGAAATAAACAATCCATGCTGCATGGATTGTTTATTTCAAATGTCACAGTATTTACATTTAAATTGTAGAGAAGAGAAGAGCAGCAGGACATCACAGCATGTCACACGGCTGCAGCTCTGCAGCACGGAGCACAAATGTACTTCTTGATCAATGACACTGAAACAACTGAACATAGAAGTTCTAAAGTAATTAACTATAACTTTAAACACTTTTATATTTTGTGATTATGACGATTTTACGATGTGACATACTTTGAATTTTAAATTGGAAGACAAAAGTTGATCGGTGCATTTTTAACCCTTCACAAAGCTGCTGCAGCAGAGAAGGAGATCAGCTGATCAGCTGAAGATGTTGGGATGGGGAGGAACAACTGAGGTGGCAATGCCCTCCCAGGGGGCCAGCTCCCCACTGACCCCAATAGGCACCCCCATTCTCCGAGATCCACCAGGGGAGGGAGGCTCCAGTACATCCATCCAGGAGCAGGAGGCAGCTGCACCACCAGGGACCCAGGCCACAGACCGGCACTTAGCCCCGAGAACCGACCAGAACCCAGGACAGTGACCCAATCCCCCACCCCCCGAGATCATCCAGACCCCCAACCCGATCCCCAGCTCAACGCCCAGCCCCTCGACCAAAGAACACATTAGAGCCTGTCTTGTGTGGGATTTCTCCTTGTGCCTGGCTCCTGAGTTCGTGGTGACGCTGTCTGCTCTGTGGTACTCTCAAACAATTACTGAGTTAGAGACAATTTTGTGTTTGCTGAGGTACTGTGGCAGCCATCTTTAATCAAAATGGCTCCAAACGTTAATCAGCTCTAGAGATCAGTCTGAGAGATATATTTGTCATTCGCACCTCATGTGGTACATGTGGTGAAACAAGATTATGTACACAAGGTCCCAGTTACATCCAACAATAAAATGTAAAAGAAAAACAGTAATAACATCTAAGATATGAACTAAGAAAAACATCAACTAAATATACGTTAATCACTAATAGTATAAAAACAATATGTCAAACAGCAGCATGAACATGAGTCTGTGATGAGCAGATGAACATGCATGAACACAGCAACATGAAACAGATCAGCAGCAACATGAAACAGATCAGCAGCA